AGGTGAGAAGCCCCACAAGTGCCAGGTGTGCGGCAAGGCATTCAGCCAGAGCTCCAACCTCATCACCCACAGCCGCAAACACACGGGCTTCAAGCCCTTTGGCTGCGACCTCTGTGGGAAGGGCTTCCAAAGGAAGGTGGACCTCCGGCGGCACCGGGAGACGCAGCATGGGCTCAAATGAGCATCCTGGTTGGCAGCTAGGCAACACTAAGGAGGGCAGCCTCCCTGCTTGCCACCACCCGCTTCTGACTTCTCAGGCCCCCGACCGTCTCTGCAGACCCCACAGGGTGCTCCCCCTTTGCCTGTCTTCCTGGAGCTGCCAGAGGGGATGAGGCACCTTTGCAGAGTGCGGCCCAGAGCCAGGGACCAAGTGACTGAAGATGCGAAGTCAACCGGGGAGCAGATGACGTACTGGACCCACCGTTCCTACTCCCAGCTGCTTTGCAGACAGGAGGGTCCTTCAGCTTTCTCCCCGCTCCAGACCGGACCCAGACACTTGTGTGGAAGAGGAGGAATCGCCGTTTCCAAGGTGGACACGTGCTCATGTTTTTATCTGGAGAGAAGAATGCGTGTTCTTTTTATTTTATTTTTTTCCTTCTGGGGAGTCCATCGATCCCTTTCTCTTGGGTGCTGCCGGTATGGAGGAAGCCCCCCTCCTCAAAGATCTGCTCAGAAACAGCTGTGGAGAAGGAGTGTAATACTTCTGAAATCACAAGATGTATGGTCAAGCCTGCTCCAGGAAGGCACAGAAGAATGGTGGACTTAGTGATGAGAGGGGATTAGAAGTCCTCCCTCCAGGAGATCTGTGACGGCTTCACTGGAGGAAGTGAAAGCATGAGCAGTACTGCAGACGAGATGTCATCCATTTGCTCAGCAAATGTTCACTGGCCACTGGTTACCAAGGCATCAGGCACCATGCTAGGTACTGGGGAGCAGAGGTTAACGTCATAGCCCCTGTCCTCCAGCGTGATGAGTTGCACCTCCAAATGGCTGAGTCTCAGAATTCTGAGGAAACAACACAGTGTCTTGAACCTTCCCTTCTGACACTTTTGGATTTTATAAAGTGTAAGCAAAAGGTAGCTGGACAGTGACTTCCAAGACTTGTGTGTATATTCGGGTTTTTATTGTTAAGTTGATATTTTTAAGATGCCTGAGCTAGCAGGCATGTGGGGGTGAAGACTCTGTCTTCACCTCTGTGACCCTCCATGTGTACCACAGAGGGGAAAAAAGTGCTATTTTTACTTTGCTGAGGTTTGTACATGTTTTTAGATCTTCTGGAGTGCATTATGTTTGTTAATACATATTTATTAGAGTGATGTTTTAAGTTAATAAAGTATCAAGACTGTTACAGGTTGCCTCTCATTTAGGTAGGGAATTTGGGGAGACCTTTGGTTTAGTTGCAGAGGAAGCTGGCACTGAAGGAAGTTGCAGTGGAGTATGAAAGTAAGGCGGGTCGGGTGTGGTGGCTCACCCCTATAATCCCAGCACTTTGGGAGGCTGAGGAGAGAGGATTGCCTGAGCTCACAGCTTCAAGACCAGCCTAGGCAACTTGGCGAGACCTCATCACTACAATAAATAAAAAATTAGCCAGATGTGGTGATGCATGCCTGTAGCTCCAGCTACTTGGAAGGCTGAGGCGGAAGGATCGCTGGAGCCCAGCA